GTTGAACAGTTCTCATACATTTTTATAATTAAGTCAACTATTAATTTCGGTACACCCTTTTTATTTAGACTCTTGATTAATATGGAGTGTGATAGGCTATCGAAAGCTATTGAGACGTCTATCACAGTGAATACACCCCCATCCTGCTGCTTACTCATAGCAATTGCCTCGTTAAATAGTGCAATATTATATTTACAGCCGTCTTCGGATGTGAAACACTTTGACGGAAATTTTGTACAATAAATCCCCGAAGTCGTTTATCAATGATTGCCGAGAACATACGACTCAGAATCGAACTGATTGTTATAGGACGCCAGTTGCTCGCATTCGTCAGATCCTTCCCCACTTTGGGAATTAAGGTTGTCCTATTCATATTCCAGCATTCAGGATAATAACATCTATGGAATAAGATGTTATATAGAGCTGATAATAATTTTGGAACTCCTGCTTTCATCAGGTGTGTTTTCCGAAGACCATCAGGACCGCCAGCTGATTTAGATTTAACTTTGTTTATTCTAGTTTTTACCTCATCCTCGGAGACAGGTGGAAATGTGTCCCGAAGCGAGTGAGTAGGCGCGTTATAAAAACAATGACTAGAGGATGGCCCTGGAGTTCCCCAAAGATCTCCGTATAGCTGCTTGATGTTATCAGCGGATGGAAGCTGTCCAGATGGTTCGAGTAAGGAGTTGTCCTCATTGATCGCCATCTCTGCGAGACGTTTGGGACATTCCTTATAAAGTTCTTGGCATCTGGCGTACGTAAATCGTTTAAATCGATTACGATTGGTTTTCCCGCGATTCCTATTAATACGATTATATTTGTTTTTGTTTTTAGGCTTGTCTTTGGTGTTGGGGTTGCTGGCATCTTCGTTATTTTTGTCTGCTGATAGCAAGAATGGAGTCAAAGTTTTGGAAATAAAGACATTTATTCTACGACCTAATTCGACTGGGTCATGTTTAAAAGATTTCCATAGTTCTATTAATTCTTTATACAGAGTCAATTTCTGCGCTAATGCTATTCTCAATTATGATGGCTTCATTAAGTTTGTGACGCCATTCAATTATGTCTTCAGTATCATCGTTATTAGCTGAAGTATCTCCTGTTTCCCAGTGACCCGGGTCTTGTGGCTCCAATGAAGGAGTATGTTGATGAGATATACTATATATGCAGCAGTAGAGCTTTTATTAGAGGTATCCTCCTCAACATTAGAGACTGCATTTGTTAGCCCAAGGTCGCGTCGTTTATCTCCTATTTGCTTGCGAGTCTTAGATGTTAAGGTTTTAGCTATTTCTATGTTAGGATATTTATTAGACTTATAAGTTATATCAAGTTGTTTTAGCATTTGAATTTCATCGTCTGACCATACCTTTCTATGTGCACCTCGCATATTTCGTCCGTCCGCTTTAGGTTCATTAATAATCATCCGCTTTTTGTTTCGCAAAGCCGGGTGTACTAAGCGTTCGTGTGTAGAGAGGCCTCTTGTAGCATCAAATGATAACGGACACTCTTCACATTTAAATGGCTTTGGGTCAAGAACGCTGGGGACACCTTTGCATCTGGTGAGATGAACTCTGACCCCGTGAAGTTTCGGGAAGGATTTCTTACATGTCGAGCAAGTCCAATTAACATCCTTATCGATGTGGTGTAATTTCAAATGTTTATCTAGATCGGACGGATTTAAAAAAGTAAAATTGCGGCGCTTTCGCAAGCAAAAAGGACAAACGACATTCTCTTGTGTAAATGGGAACATTATGGTAGTAATATCTGTATCATTGGTCATGATTCTAGCCAAGTCGTCAACCATGGTCCCCTCCATAGCGGAAGTTTCCGCCACACCAATACCGGGACCGAGTATTGCTGCGTCCGAGGCTATATTTCTATTTGCCATTGTTTATCTTGAATATTTTGAGATCGGGTGTTTATTCCAATCACAGAGAGCTCATAACCTGAAGCAGTGCCATAGTCGTCAACAATAATCCAAACAGCGTTCAAAACGAGAATACAAATGTATTTAACTAAAGATTTC